CAGGGGGGGGGGGGGTGACAGCAAGGCATCCAGCAGCTACAATGTGCACCAACCCGCCTACACACTCCAGCTTTGGCTGGTCCACATGTGGATAGAGCTCAAGTTCAGGAGCAATGATCGAGCAGCATCCTTCTGAGGGACACTGCTGCTGTACTTCTCAACATGTACCTTAAACCAAACAACTGCTGGGTACCATACATGTATGAATGGGTAAGTTGTAACCCTATACACCAAGCATAATATAGGGAACCTGCTAAGCAACTTAATATTACGCTGAAATAACATAACCTGAGAATCACAGGGACAGGACGTTCCAAGAGCCAAGGGCAGCATTGTGAGTCATGCACTGCTATACCGGGCTGAATTATTCACTCCTGTGTCAACTGTCAAAGCAAGATGGAAAACCGGACAGGTAGAGGGAGCGAGGCTTGTTTAGAAACCGCTCACCACAGGGCAAACACAAGAACAGAGGCGTCACCGTCACCTCGATACTGCTGGCGGGTAAACAGAGAGGACGCACACCCTGACTTACGGTCATGGCATCGTAGGGCCTTTAGGGTCATCGTCACAGGACAGCGCATGAATGTCCTGGCTGATGTTACCGGACACCACGAAAATCAGAACTGGAACCGACAGAGGGAAACGGGTCATGAAGACAGACCTAATTAGGCAGCCGAAGCCATAAGATGGGAGATGGTGCCGGATCGGCACAGCAACTGTATGAAGTGTGGTTCTTAGAGATGTGTCCTTTTTTTTAGTGATGGACTTGGAAAGTCTGCTGGTCTCTAAAGCAAGCATCTGACCAGCTGTGTCTACAGAGGTCCTCACAACATTTGGTGCAATGACTTCAGCAGCCCCTCCCTCACTCTGGTCCTGAACTCCGGGAACTATCCCAAATCTCCCAAAGTGGCCATGCCCGCCCAAAGTAGCAACACTGCTCACCCCCACCCTCACCAACCATCGCTTGGGCTCAGCCGGCCCCACCAATCATCAGCGGCGTGTCTGCGGAGGCGTGGGACAGGCTGACGCGGCGAGTGCAGACCCGAGTCGCCGCTGCACTCTTCAATTATTCACACCTCTCTCTGCTGTCGGGCTGCATCAATTATTTGCGTGCAGCTCCGCGTGATCAGATCGCACATCCGTCATGGCAGTCAGCTGCCACGTCTGCCTCAGAACATGCGACTTCCGGGTGACCAAAACCACAACTCATACCAGCACCAGGTTCAGGAAACTGACACAATACATGGAGAAGACGACTAATACATCTATCATCTTATCATTTAAAAGCACAACTGCTTTCAGTCACAAACAGTGACATTAAAGATTACAAGATAATCAGTTACCATGTAATTATCAATCTGAAGTAGGTCTTACTTATAATCTTGCTCAGAGGTTCAACAGCAATTATTCTTCCAAGGCAATTCAGACCACGGACAGTCAACTGAGCTCGTCTCAATTGACGTTATTTGAAAAAGCAAAACCAGAATTCAGGCGTCAGCCTCACCACACATTCAACAAAACTAACTCTCCTTCTATGTTCGAGATCCAAGCGCCATGTCCTTCGAACTTTCCTAAAACGGCCGTTCCAGTGCCACTGCCACTTAGTGACTAACTGGCCAGCAAAGCCAAACCCTTCACTTGGGAAGCCTGACAAGACAGGTATGCCAAGTTCACACTACACAACTTGTCTTGTAATCGGGAGTCTTGAAGTCATTGTGGTTTACACACTACATGATTGATCAGTGACAGGGGATCTTTCACCAGGAGGAAACACTGACCAGTCTGTCTGGTCTCTAACCTATGTTTTGTCACAAAATCACAGGTGTGAATGACCCCAGAAAATCACAATTCTAGTGTCAAAATACTACAAATTGTTAAAACACTTTAATCAAATGAGGAAACAGTATCACGTACCTTGGGTCTTTAGTGACCCGGCATATAAAATATACACAGACACGCAGGTTTGTATTTATATCTTTGTGGGGACTCCCCATTCATTTCTATGGGGAAAAACCCTAATCACAACATTATGACCTTAACCTCTACACAGCCCTAACCATAAGTAACCAAATACAAGACTTTCGGTATTTTTATTTTGATTGCATTTGCAGATCTTTGTGGGGACCAGAAAATGCTCCCTAAAAAATCAAAACAACAGGTTTTCATTATATTGCGGGGGACATTTGGTCCCACAATGTAATATAAACATAACCCAAATACACACATATATATTATACATCTCCCTGAACATTAAGAACAGTTTCTATACAAACTGAACTTTTTATATCTTTTCCAATTCCTCTCTCTGGTTTCCACTCACCTCATTTCTTGCATTCTCATTGGCTGTAGCTCATTGCCAGTTGATTTGCAGTTGCTGTCAGGTCCAGATATTTAGCATGCTAAACATCTGGCAGGTGTCTGCAACGCATTAGCGACTACGTCGGGTCACATCTTTGGACAGTTCACGAATAGCGATCAAGCACCAATGTGCAAGCACCGGATAAGCAGCGATTTGCCTCCGATCTAGGGGTTTTGTCGCTAATCTCCAAAAACCATCAGTGAGTGGAAAATTTGGGCTAAAGTTGTGTAGTGTGAACTTAGCATTAAGTCTTGCTTCATCTCCTATGAGACCATACGGACCATAAATCCCTCTGGTTAGTTACTGCTCTAGTAAATGAGATTCCAGTTGTATCTTCAAATGAAAAGTGCCATCTTTTTCAAAGAGCTGAAGCCTACTGGAGCAAGGATGACAGTTTGGTATAGCATTCAGCACAGTGATAAAATAAGTCTCAACTGATGCTTCAGGAAGTGGTAGATCTATTTGTCAGGTTTCCTAGATGTACAAGCAAGTGTGCATGAATCAGATCTACATATTAAAGCCGCGACATCTTTGCCGAATCAAAACACTGCAGAAGATGTCTTCTGTCTCCGTTATTTTAACAGTACCACCACAGCAGGTCAAGAACCTTCCAAACTAAAGAGCTTTGCACTAAATGAACCTTTGGTAAAACCTAACGATCGCAGAGCAATTCAATTACCCGGGCTAGGAGAGCAGGCTGATGTCATCCGCGGCTGCTTTAGGGATGATGCGGCACTCAAAGCGGTTGGCCGTAAAACTCGGGCGTTGGCCAAATCAATTCGGCCATTTGAGTCCGGTACTGAGTCCCAGTTGGCCGGAATGACCACCGTTCCCTGTAAATGCATCAAAATTCCAAGCTTCTGGTTTACACTTGCACCTCCCTCAACCAGTACCCCTCACTACCTCAAAAATGTCTGCAGATTAGGATCCTTCTTACTGGAGCAGTGCAAGAGAATAAAATAAGAACTTTCCATTCAATTCTCAGACCTACTGCTTGCACAAGACACTAGTCTTGTAGCCATACTGTATTGCAAAAAATAATGTGCAATGTATTTTGCAACAGATGCCCCAAACATCTCTAACCTATCTTCTGTGCTGAGACCAGGCGATTACGCACCAAAAGCAATGCAGTAATAAATAATAAAGCTGTTATCTTAAAAGCAAATTAGAACGGTTGCCCCACAAAGGAGGAAAGAGGTGGGTTCAACTAAACAGGATGCTCTAAGTGTGTTTTTTTTTAACTAAAATATCAGCCAGCTGCTTTCCTGTTGCAGGAACCGAACGCTCAGTAGATCAGAGGGTGGTGAGGAGATTGATGTGGCTCAAAGTGGCCGCATTAAATGCCCAACACAGAGAGGCCACAACTGCTTCACACGTGAGACTAAGGGTGCGTTTCCACTGCACCAGGCACCATGCTTTGGTTCTTTAAAAAAGCACCAACAGTATAGTACTTTTTTGTGTTGATTTTCCACTGACATAAAAACTGGGGTATTTTGTAGGCTGCTGTATATTATAGGGCTTGACAATGAGCGACATTAATACCAACACTGCATGTTATGCACATGCAATTCTTGCACTGAAAGGACCACAATAGTCAGCTGGGTTGAGAATAACCTTTTGCATACCTTTACACTTTATACAGATTATATTATTTATACTTTGTCATAGGAAACAAAAACTGAGCAAGCATTGCAATTTTAATGACTGCCCCCCTTCAAGATTATGTAGCATATGTTTACAAAATCAGCTTAAAGTTTACTGCCGCTACTTTCGCATGCAATCATGCGAGACAATCGTAATCATTTTCATCCTTACTGTGCCTAGACGGGTTTGTGAAAAATGTATGTTAAACTCCTTTTATGCCATATAAATACCCCAATATTTATTACAACAAAGTCACATTGTGATACTTGAAAATACCATGCTGCCCTAATATATTATATAAAGTACCCTTATAGTTTCTTGGTATTTCCTCCTGATCTTGTTGTATCTGTTCTTCCGACCAGATTGCAATTTAAACCTGGATCTCTTCATTTGTCCATAAATTATTACTATTTTTTTTTTACTTCATTTGTCATTGTTTTCTGAGCTTGTAACATTTTTCTGCAGTTCAATTGTGTTTCAGAAGCAAGATATTTGAATTACCAAATTGAGAAAGCGTTTGCAAGTCCCACCCCAAAGTACCAAATAAGTACCCCAGCTGGTCCGGCACATTTGGTACCGGTACTCCACCAGAAATCAATGGAAAGAGAAAGTACCGAAAGTACGGTACGTGGTGCAGTGGAAAAGTGCCCTAAGAATGCTCACCCAAAGTGCAAAAACGTATCGCCACTGTGGAGTAAAACTTGCAGGCTGGAGGGATACAGAATTTATCACTTAGCCTAGGGCCACTGTGTCACTCACACTAGAAGCGACAGCTTATGGCACAGGTTGGCAGACTGAATGGGTGACAGGAAACGTCAGATAAAGGGTAATCTCGGGCACTGGCAGCATTTTCCAGCACTGCCTCCCCAGACACCCACGAACACTGTGGTCAACAACAAAAGAATCAGCGGATAAACCAGGGGAACACATGCCACATGAGATCAGACCAGGAGTACTATCTCGGTGAGGGCTAGGGGCAACAGTGGGCCCATAGGAGCTAGACAAATATCATGAGTCTCTGCCAAAAAGGTCCCAGTCCTGCTGGTATGACACTCCCAACAGCACGGCTGAGTTACCACATAACCTTTGATGCTCCTTCAACAGATGCCTCTCTACAAGTTCATAATGCAGATATCTATCCACTGCTGGCTACTTACTGTCATTACTTGACTGACTAAATCCACAGCAAACATTGTTCAATATGAAAAGCTGGAAACTATCAAACAGGAGCAGATGCAATACAACACACACACCACAATCAAGGTTTGACTTAAGATACTGCTCAAACTATGCTACCCAATGCCCTACAAACCGGTCCCCCGGGGATCACGACTTTAGATTGCTTTGATTGGGATGAAATATATGAATGCTCATGGTGTATTGTAGTTATCTGGCCTCACAGTGCAAAAATACAGTAACTGAGGGGAATGAAGACCTCTATCATTGGTGGTTTAGCATTAAGAGTATAGATGCTCTGGTCAAATGCAAAAGGAAGATTTCAGTCACATCAAATTGCATAACAGGTTGATATCCATAGGACTGGTGACAGTATTGGCTATATAAATAGGTCATAATGTTAAATTACCACTTTCTATGCATCCTTGCAAGCACAGCAAACCTAAAAGGGTCATGCAACATTTTTATCATAACATAATAGAACAACCAGTATCTTTTGTATTGAAGTATCAGAAAAAGGTGCCTAATTAGCATCAACAAATTAGCTCAAGATATTACCCAGAATTCCTCTCCTCCAAACAAAAAACAATCCAGTCCTGCTTCTACTAGAGCACAGCACACAGAAGACAGACATCATGCCCCCTTCAGCAAATCACACGTGCAGTCAAAACAACATTAAATCCAACACATCACACAGTGTATCTTGGCATGAATGGACCAGCATTAACCGGTTTTTAGGGATCCCTGTTCACTGGGGAGGAGGAAGACGCTAGGCTAAGCTAGGTGCAAACAGTGACAGGGATGTGCAGCACTGCTGACTGGCACTGGTGAATTACTCCTGAAAGCCCCGTTAGGAAAGTGGCTGCCATAGGACACTAAAGTCAACAATGGTGACAGGGCAGAGGAAGGCAGCTATCCAAAGCCCAATTTCACCGACCTGTAAAGCATCGAGTCACCAGGTGGCAAAATGCTCAGACCTGAAATGGTGACATCAGGGTCCGACACTTAATGCATGCCAACATTTAACAAGAACATATGCTTCCTCCCAACAAGAGGAACAAGGGGAAGAGCCAAGCTGGAGCAGGACTTGCAGAGTATCTCTGGAGAAGGGAGCAGTGAGCCGATTCCAGTGCTTCATCTCTAGGGACGGTGCAAATCCTGTAAGCTACTGAGCCCAACTAGCAAACCTCAGCCATGCATGTCCAAGTAGATCTGACAGGCCTAAATCCCTCATTGCTGCTCCTCCTACTACTACCACTAATGCCATAAAATGATGTCGGAAAAAAACCCAATAAAGTGATTAAGTCATTCTAACCAGTGCAATCATATTTTTTAAACACAAAAGCAGGAGTCTAATTCTTAAAACTACTGGTTATTTCTCCTACTTAACATAATGGTACTAAAAACTGTAGGTGTTCCATGGGACTTTATGCAGCCAGAACAGCAAGTTAAAACCAGAAACACACTTTCATGTTACACTAACATACTTATTAAAGAGCACTGGTTTTACTTTGTCCGTCACACGTGTTAAGAGACAAATAGCCCCTGGGAATGCTTTAAAACTGGCATTTTGGCTCTTTTTTTTAAAAAAAACAGAAACATAAAGCATGACTCAGTTCCACTTCAAACACTTTTGATTAGTGTGATTAGGCCTGAGCAGAAGCAGATGGCTGAGAGGGGAAAAAAAAATAAAATGAAATGAAATTCCTGGTGGATTCTGGGTAAATTATGCCTTTTGGAATGCTGGCTTCGGCACAGCCAATGAAATGAGCCACTGCGTCAAGTCATGCCAACTCAGCAGACAGAGTGCACTGTGAATGGTATGTATAGATATATTTAAGACAAGATGAATACATATATTTCCTTTTGGCCCGACATTTGGCATTTTGCCTATGTGTATACCTAGTTATATATATAATGAGGTTTTCTGAAGTCTCCCAATGGGTCACATCCCCTCCTTGCAATATATTTATAGACCATTCACGCACATTTTTGGACTACGGGAGGAAGGGAGACCCTTCCCATATCTCAGCAGATCATATGAGCAGATTTGACTTACACGTGGAGATGTTCTTTTGTTCTGCGAACCGGTTTTCACACAGACTCGTAGCATTGGAGGGAATGCATCCTCCCAACATAAACACAAGACACAGCGCACACGCACACTGTTTGTTCCCGCTGGAGCGGAACGATCCACTCTGTGACCATCTTCAGCTTTATGCTTAGTCAGTTTTACTTTGCGGTTACCAGAGGGGAGGGCGCGCAAGAAGAGGGTGGTTCTGTTAAACCAGCTCGTGCACAAAAACCTTGCAAGGTGGCTCATACTACCCATGCTAATCATATACAGCACCAAGGGTCTGAGTAATGATTTACTAGGTCTGTATGGGTACTGGTGCATAGTGAGAGTATTATACCTTTTAATCACACCAAACTAGAGGTTAAAAAACATGCATGCAATGCAACGCTTGTTAAAATCAGCTGTAAACATAAAATTTAATTTATCATATTGAAAACAAATACCATAGTTAACGGGACACGTATTTAAAAATAAATTAACAGCATGTTGGCCTATCCAACTGAGAACAGGTCACAGCCATGCTGCAATTACCCTCTGCAAAGAGAACATTTTCCAGTTTTATAGCCAAGCATTTTCTGCATTCAGCAAAGTGACCCACTGCTTATCCCCAGATGACACACAGGAAAGACCTCTCCACACACAGTGTTCCATGCTTCTTAAGACCTGCTCAAACTCTGCATTTCAAATTATAATTCGG